TCACGTGAGACCAAAGGCCCTGGGTTTGAATCCTGCAATCAGGACTGTGTAGTGCACTACTGAAGAGTCCCAGAATAGGATGAAACAGTTGTCCAGTTATTCCAGGTTCTTCATGTCAGTCTAACATCAATCGCTTCATGATCTCAATCAAAAAGCTTAAAACTGTAAATCTTGAAAAACTTATAAGTAACGCTCACTAATTGATAAATAAAGATTGTTCACATTCCCCAGTTAAGCATAATATCATTATCACATAGTTGAAACTATATATCAAATGTATGTCATTACAAACTGTTAACTAATTTCTTTTATCTTTTCTTACTTCATATAGATGTGCATGAAGACATGGTTAAATGGCAATAAAGAGGTTTTCCATGGTGATCTAACTTCAATTAACTCATGATCTCAACTATTGAAAGTACCATCTACAGTTGAGTGTTAAACTTGTATAAATTACAGATCAATACCATATCTTTGAAGCTACAATTCATTGAATTTAAGTAAGAATCTAATTAACACATTTGTTCATTTGATAGTATATGTAAAGTTAGGTTATATACTAGATGATAACGTTGATATTCAGGAAAAATCATTGTATTATATGCAAAGATGAATAATGACAAACAGTGAAATCTAGTTTGACGTGCATTTCGTCCTACTTAGAACTCATCAGTTGGATATATCTGCATCTTAGAATTGATATTCACTCTAAAGCTCCAACCCAGTATGTACAGTATCCATATATTGCTAATAATAGGGGACTAATCAATGACTATTTTAAACATCAATAGTCAGTCAGTAACAACGTGGAACTTTGTACCTACGTACATCAGTTCGAGTTGACATACCACATTAGCACAGGGATTCAAATCTCGTAGTGGTAGAAGTAGTGAAAGTATAAGTAGTAATAGGGAACATTGGGGTTTGATGATGTTATTTAAGGAGTATAATCCAGTGGAATGAATTTGGAAAGAAAATAAGGGGCATCAAGAATTCAGAAGATTAGAGTTTAGGAGGACATGGAGATTGGATGCACCTGTGTGCCATTGTAAACGATTTTGAGTCATGTCATTCAAGATCTCTAACCATTGGTTACCATCGTCTCGCAGATCCTAACCAAATATTCTACACCTACCAATATGGCTCAGTCCATTTGTCAGTGACTTGATAGATTTGTGCCATGTTGCGGTCTGGTCACCCCTAACTTTCTTCCAACTTACACCTACACCATAAAACATCGCATATCGGAGCAGTCGGTGGTTGAAAAATACTACTATTGTGGGGCATCTGAATATGTGTCTATGTTCTAGGATCTGACGTAGTGTGAATATTTGGTCTATACAACCACTTCCAGGTTGAAAATCAGCCTGGTTTTCTTTAGTCTGTTCTTCACAAGTTTTCGTTAGGCGTCGAAGGAATACTGAATCTAATATATTAGACACTATATTAGTCAAACTATTTCCTCTGTGATTGTCACAAGAAGATTTAAACAAACAATATCAAATGAATAACAAAATCATTATATTTCATAGATCATAATATGATCTAAGATATTAATAGAGAATTGTTATTTCATAAATTGATGAATCGATAACATGTGATTTATCACATTCTATATCATAATCCTTTGAATGAAACGTTTCTTTATGTTTATACTTCTTCTTCTTTTTTTGTTGCTGATATTTCTTTTCTTTTTTTCTGATTTAATCATGTTCAATGCCTAAACTACTATAGAATTGTATACGACTGTATAGAATTACATTTATGTGGTTACAAAATTGGTAATTTTATTTGTCCTTAATTTGTTTTTTGTTTTTTTTTTTCATTTTAAATGTAATTGACGAAACTATCAATTATGAACGAACCAATCAGATTCACGAGAATAGATCTTGAATTTCAATGTGAAATTTACTCATTCATATGGCTAAATAGCATCTTGACATTATAACTAATGTCAGTTCATGATGAAAATCCTTAATCTGATCCTTATCCTTAACCATTAATTATAAATCATAATTATTATCTTTTATACAGGTTTAAAGCCGTCATTTAACCTTAGTCAGTTGATGAACATTCTCAAGATCACTTTAGTGTCACTCAATGGTCGTCCATGGATAGGATACACATTGAGGAGAGCACCGAACTGCATCACAAAACAAGCCGTTACATGGAATCCTCAAGGCCAAATGAGGAGAAGAGGAAGATCAAAGAATAACACATTACACCGGGAAATGGAGATAGACATGAGAAAAAACGAACAAAAGTTGGATGGAACTACAAAAGAAGACTCAGGAGAGAGTGGGTTGGAGAATGTTGGTCGGCAGCCTATACTCCATTAGGAGTAACAGGCTTAAGTAAGTAAGTAAGTAAGTAATGGTCGTCCATAAATTATATGTTTACATTTGTTCAATTCAGTTCATTTTAATTGTTCATTATAATCATAATACCAATTATTTTCTATAATAAAATATTTTCCTGTTGGATTACCTGTCAGTTTTTTTTTAAATAGTATTAGATTGGTTAAAGTTAGACATTAACACCGTTAGATGCCGGTCAACTCAGTGGTTTAGAGGTTAAGCGTTCACACATGAGATCGATATGTCCTGGGTTTGAATCCCGCATACGAGATCATGGACTCGAACTCTTTGACTTAATACACAATTGATTTTTATTGCATTTTCAATAGAAATTCAAGGACATCTTTTTTATTAAAAACGTATTAATAAACATGTTACTACTAATAAGTAACAATATAGAATTAATGAAAATTTATCTCAATCTATAGCTACTGCAAAGCTCTTTATAATAATAATAATAATCAATAGACAATACATAAAGTTAATCTAATATGAATCATAAATCTGATAAACTTTTGATTATTATCAATATTATTATCAGAAGGGGTTGTGTAGAGATTTTTTGAAATTTCACAGGTGGAAATCATGAATCAATTGAAGCTAGACCACCATAGAAAACTTGGAAGCATTGGACGACCGTTTCGTCCTAGTACGAGACTCCTCAGTAGCAGTGCGCATCCACGATTCCGCCCCCCCCCACGAGATTCCATCCCAGGACCTATTAGTACATTATGATTATGATTGAATTATTAATTTAGATAAAGATTAATTATCATAATATCTAATTGATTTGATACCTACTTATCATTTGAATTATGATCTAGATTTTTTAATAATTAAAACGATTATCAATTTAAGTGTTGTGAAGATTGTCAAGTTTTTGATTGAGATCATGAACCGATTGATGTTAGACCAGTATTAAAAACTTGGAAGCACTGTATGCTGGCTCAGTGGTTGAGTAGGTTAAGCGCTCGCTCACGATACGGAAGACTCTGTGTTTGAATCCCGTGTGTGGGATCGTGGATGCGCACTGCAGAATGGTCTCACAATTAGACGAAATGACCGTCCAGTGCTTCCAGGTTTTCCATCATGGTCTAGCTTCAATTGATTCATGATTTCAATTATTGTAATTACCAATTCTGCACAAAACCCATTCTAGTAATACACGAAATTATTAAAACAATCAAGGTAGTTTATCAGTCAATGATTAAAACAATGATTAAAACGATTACATAAGTAAGTGAAAAGTACAAATTGATAGTGTGATGACAGGTGTACTAAGTGGGATAAGCAATCATAAAGGCTCAAATCAATGTTACATCATTGGAAATAGGACAATGATTAGAAAAAAATATACATAGACAATGAGATAACGTTATAAGAAGTAGTCAGGTAATTGAACCGTGAAACGTATATTTGACAAAAGAAAAGGATAAGAAGGAGTGAAGAAAGATAAAGCGAAGAGAGTATGGAAAATAATAATAAATAAGGTCATTTATTAAGGCCAAGTGAGAGATAAGGCTGTTACAAATTTCTTCTGAACACAAAGACTTGGCTTTTTAACTCTCAGTCTTATAGCTTCTGTTATGTGTAAGAGACGAGATCGAATACCATAAGAAACACTAGTGGGAATAAGATAAATAACTTTAAATGACTTGTCTCTGTCCACTATGTGACCGCTATCGATCAAGTGTGATCGAATTGAGCTGCGTATCGCCTTGACGTTACCTTTTTCGTAACCGCGATGGGAGGTGTTCACTAACACTGGTTCAGTTGCTTGGTAGTGCACTCAATATAGCATTCTCCACAGGAGCACCTGAATTCACAGATACATATAGAAGTGGCATAACCAGGTAATCATTTTCATTGTTATCATTGATTCACAAAACTACCTTGATTGATTTCAATTCATTTCGTATATGCATATATATAAATACATTACTTTATATTAGAGTAAAGCCTGATGAGGATGTTGTAGTGGTAAATAAATTCCCAAAATAAATAGCTCTGTCAGTTTTCGACATTAGATACTGACCATATTAATTTTAATGGACTCAACTAGCTGAAGGCACTCAGTCATGCATTCGCACCAGATCACGAGTGGGAACACCGTGTTCAACAACCCTTACAATCGCTAACCAGATTAGATCAGACGATTCTCAATATATTGATAGCCTATCAAATATATCTTCGAACCTCTTCACTTTTGTCTTTTGATTTCATATGGTGGGTAAGATTCATATTAGAAGATGTTACTAGTTAAAGTCTTATCAAACTTCAAATACTTGTGTCATTTTCAATCTCATCCAAAACAATATGATTCACTTATATCTATGTTGTATTAAATTGAATATTAAGTAAATATTTATTTATCATTGTAAAAAATCTAAAAGCAATAGACAGATATTTCATCTTAACTATGAGACTCTTCAACAATTAACATCTATGATTTTATAGTACTTTTAAATTTTCTATCATAATCTAAATTTTGTCAACATCTATACCAAAACAAAAAAAAACAAAAAAAAAGATGAGTAAAATGACGTCATGTAACTTAGCAACTATTTAAAAATCAATAATCAATAATAATCAATGATAATCAATGATAATCAATGAATTAATCAAATTCAACTATAAACTTACCACCATATTTCATAATATTAATAATAGAATGATATGCATTATTTGTATATTCAATAGGTAATTGTGTAATTTTAGAAAAACCAGACCAATCAGGTTGATTTAAAAAAAATATATATTTTTTATTTTTATGAACATTAATCCAACAACGACCAGGATCAGGAAATATACTAAATTGTCCTATTCTTAATAAATGATTAACACGTATAGGAAATCGACTAGATTTGATATGTTTTAATATATTATTTACTAATAAACTAATATTATATAATGGACCAAATTGACGACGATATATTTGTATTGGTAAACCAATAATAACATAATCAGCTAATAATGTACTTGTTTCAACATCATCATAAAAACGATAACGACATGGACGTTTTTCATCTGGTGGTTTAAAATGATCAATAAATGATTGTATTGATTGATGATATTGATTATTATTATAATAATAATAATTATTATTATTTATTAAATCATTTGTAGTATGATTTATATGTTTTGTATATTTTGTTGATATACATAATACTGTATTCATAATGAATAATAATAATAATAATGATAATAATATATAACATTTACTAATAATTAATAAATAAGAAGAATGAATATGAAAATATTGATTTATATGAATTGAATTGAATTTTTTTTTTTTTTTACGATGATGATAATGAATGAAAATAGAAACCCAGTAACTATGAATAAAATGAAAAAAATATTTAAATTGATGAAATAAATTGATATGTGTTACTATGGTAATAAATTGATAAAGATAATTTTTATATTGTATAAATAGTATATTATAAATCATTATTAAATATTTTTGATATATACTACTACTACTACTATTAATAATGATCATCATTATACTACTGAATTTTATATAAAATATACTTATATACTTGATATAATCTATTTTATAATGATAATAATATTGTATCAATAAATTAATATAATGAATAAATATCAATGGTTTAGGAATGTATTTTATTAGATTATTTATTAATAATAACCATTGTAATTGATTCATATCATAATGATTAATGAATAATTGATAATGAATCAATATATTTTGAATAATCATATAGTAATAGAATCCATATAAGATAGATATTATATGTATTATGTAATGATAGAAAATATGTAATTGATTATATAATAAAGTTTTACATTGATTTATATTTGACAATAATGATAATGATAATGCTAATGCTAATCGATGTAATTGATTTATTGAATAATATTTAATTGATTGAAACATTGAATAATTATTGATTAATAATAATAATAATAGAATAATGAATAAATCATTAGAATTGTTTAAATGAACATCTCTTTTTTTTAATGTAATTCAATATATATTACTGAAATCATCATCATCATCATCATCATCATCATCATAGTAAATAGAATCATTTGAATTAAGTAGTCTATAATCATTGATATATAGAAAAATCAATTGTAATCATATAATAAATGAGTCCATAGAAACCAATGTACATTACTTTATTATTGTTATTATTATTATTATCATTTGATAATATAAATGACTATCCAGTATCCATTATGTAATATGAATAAAGGTTTTAGATATCATTTAGATAATACTATATATATATATATAATTGGTTATTTAAATTGGATTATTATTCCCATCAAATAATGAACATTGTTTGTATATCTATATATGATACTACTACTACTAATAATAATAGTAATAGTAGTAATAGTAGTAATGACAAACCTAATGTTATAGGTCAAGGGTAGTATAAATATGATTGTAGTTTATTCAAAAGATGACCTTGTTTCAATGTAATTTGTATTATATCATAGATGTTATACATAAGAAGTACCATGTTGTATGTTAGTATGTGTACATGTGTGTGTGTATGTATGTATGTACTATAGACATGACTTCAATGAAGTACCCTTTTGTTTTCTTTGGATATATATATATCTATATCTATATCTATATCTATATACATTTCATCTAATGTACATCCATAGAATAGATAGATGATAGATATACATAATAGTAATAATAATAATACTAATCATAATGATAATAATAATAATAATAATAATAATAGCAATGATAATAAACAAATGTAATTTTTAGAAGGTGAAAGCACACAATCATTTAAAACTTAAAGAGATGGGATTGGTTCAAGGCAAACTAATACAAGACAAATACAAGTAAAAATATAATACTGATTGGTTTAAGATAATAAAAGTGTGTTATATGCACAAACATTTTCCCCACCGCATAATTCGTGTATTATAATGATTGTATTATTATAAATAGAATTACTTAAACGAATATAAGAAGAAAAAAAAAGAGAATATGTTGAGAACGGGAAAAAAAAATGTTACAGTGATCCTTCATGGAGGAGCATAGACTAATTATAAGATGATGGTTGAAGGTAGTCGACAAGAAATCCTGGATCCGGGTTTCATGTTACTTGACACTCGTCAGCAAGGTGTTTATGTAATTTTTAGGGAACTGGTACTCCGTATCACCCAGTTTCATAGTCAGAGACGTTACCACTGAGCTATCCAAGCTGCGACCAACCTCCTATTGGACTGAGATGTAATTACAATTGATTGATCATTGGGTGGTGATCAATGTCATGTGTGTGTCAAGTCCTTATTATTAGTGTAAATCGTAACATGAAACCTGAGTCCAGGGTTTCCTGTCGACTATCTCCAATCACTATCTAATTTCAATATAGTGCACGCAGTGTTGAGTCACCTAAAGTGGTGGCCAAATTGAAACATGATAGATAACATTCGATTTGCACTAATAAGCACTTGATACACATGACATTGGTCACCACTCAGTGATCAATCAATTTCGATAGACTAATTATTATAAGCATACTCCACTCAACACTATCTTGGATAAACCTTTCTAGTTGATATTCGTTATTTTCAAGGCTGCTTTCAATTCTAAGTGTAATGAGTTCTTTGGTCTTCTTCTTTTTCGTTTCCCTTCATGACTGTAAGTTATGGCTTCATTTGTGATGCATTTTGATAATTACCTTGATGTATGTCCTATCTACTTTCAGAGTCTTTTCATAATTTTTTCTTCATATGGAAACTGGTTCATTCTGTCGCATAGTAGGCTGTTACTGATGTTATACGGTCGATGAACATTCAGTATGTTGCGTTGAAAATCGTATACAAATAATCATACTATTTTGATGATGTTTGTATTAGTTCTTCAAATTTCAGCTCTATACAGTAAGACTGTTTGGATGTTCATATTATAGATTCTGATTTTGATATTAGTTGATAGTTGTTTTGCTTTCCATATGTTCTTCAATTGTAAGGATGTTGTCGTTGCCTTGCCAATCCTTACTTTCACCTTTGCATCAGATCCTCCTTGTTCATCGATGATGCTACCCAGATACATGTATGTCTTCACCTCTTTCAGAGTTTTTCGATCAAGTGTGATTACGTGAGTGTTATCCATGTATGTTGAGACCTACTAATTCATAAACTGTTGCTACACTTTATGTATTGACCTGCATATTTTATGTGCTTGAGATAAAAGAGCCAGGTCATCTGCGAAGTCCAAACCTTCTAATTGATTTCGAGCTATCCATTGTATTCCATCTTTCCTCTCAAATGTCGAGGTTTTTATAATCTGGTTGATCATCTGAAGGAAGAGAAAGGAAGAGAGTAAGCAGCCTTGTATCACTTCGATTCCCACTTCGAACGCGTCTGATTATCACAATAGATATATTCACCTAAACTCAATAGAGCAACTATTTAGCCATCAGTATGCAAAGGAAAAAGTTTATCTATCCCTGCTAACATAATATTAACAAAATAAAGTCTTCATAAATGAAATGTTGAATAGTCAGCATGCATATAAATTAAACAAAATGGAGTCCTATATACTTACTTACTTACTTACGCCTGTTACTCCTCGTCAAGGAGCATAAGCCGCTCACCAGCATTCTCCATCCAACCCTGTACTGGGCAATAATTTCCAGCTCTTTCCTGTTGTTATTCATCCCTTTCATATCTGCTTCTATTTACCGACGTAATGTGTTCTTTGACCTTCCTCTTTTCCACTTCCCTTCACAATTCCAAGTTGGCGCTTGTCTCGTGATGCAGTTTGATGATTTGCGTAATGTATGTCCGATCCATTTCCATCGTCTTTTCCTTATTTCCTCTTCAGCTGGAAGCTGGTTGGTTCTCTCCCACAAAAAGCTGTTGCTGATGATATCCGGCCAATGGATGTTGAGTATCATGCGTAGACAGCTATTAATAAATACCTGTACCTTCTTGATGATGGTTGTTGTAGTTCTCCAAGTTTCAGCTCCGTACAGTAGAACTGCCTTAACGTTCGTATTGAACTCTACTGTACGGAGTTCCATATACCTATACATAATAAAAATATAATCAATCCAAAAGATTTAAACAATTCAATGATAGATAGTTTTAAGTACCAAAGAGTTCTGTGATAACCTTACTATATTGTTTGATATAGTTGAGTTAGGTATCCTTACAGAATACAAATATAAAACCAAGTCAATTTATTATTAAATATACTTTGTAGAATTTATCCATTCATCATTTTCATCGTGTACATAATAGTCAAGATGACAATTCCGCGAGTGTAATCATGGATGCGCACAATTAAGGAGTCTCATATTAGAACAAAATGGCCGTTCACTTCTTCCAGATTTCCCCTAGTTGTCTAGTTAGAATTGATTCATGAATTGAACTATTGAAATTAGTAAAATCTTCACAACCCCCCCACCTTTTACAGATAATATTTTTCAAATGAAAACGTAATAATTAGAAAGTAATCAACAGTTAATCACAGAACTTTACTCCTTTCTACAATTAATCAACTAAAAATCAATACTCTGCTCACTGGTAACTTATGTCGAGATAATCATAACTGATAGAGTATAATAATGTGACAAGTGAAACAGATTACAATCGTGAAAATGATTTTCAATACAAATATGAAGACAGTTTTACTGTATGAGGCGGAAACTTGAAGAAATACGAAAACCATCATCCAGAAGATAAATGTGTTTATGAACAGTTGTCTACACAAAATACTTCGAATCCGTTGGCCGGACATTATTAGCAACAACCTACTATGGGAGAGAACAAACCAGATTGCAGTGGGGTAAGAAATCAGGAAGAAGTGCTGTAAGTGGATAGGACACAGATTGAGGAAAGCGCCAAACTGTGTCACAAGACAAGCCCTTACATGAAATCCTCAAGTCCAAAGGAAAAGAGATAGACCGAAGAGCACATTACGTTGAGAAATGGAGATAGTCATGAGAAAAATTAACAAAAATTGGATGAAACTAGAAAAGAAGGCCTAGGACAGAATGGGTAGGAGAATGCTGGTTGGCGGCCTTTGCTCCATTAGGAGAAACAGGCGTAAGTAAGTAAGTAAGTAATTAAGTAAGAAAGTAATCAACAGTTAATTACAGAACTTTACTCATCTCTACAATTAATCAACTAAAAATCAATACTCTGCTCACTGGTAATTTATATCGAGAT